AGAAAAAGAACATTAGCTAAATAAATAAATAAATAAATAAATAAAAAATGCTTGGAGGCCTGATTTTCTATCATTGTGATGGTGAGAATGACACAATATTTTCCGAGGTAACGTTAACGTTGGTTTAGGCCTGACGTTACGCCGTACAAAAAAAATATGCCTCAGTTGGAAATGTAACCAACAATTAAAAATGTTCATTTGTACAATGGACGTTTCATATTTGTCCTTATAAACATGAAATACCACTCCTACGATTTCCTTTAATTGTTTTTGTCGAAAATATTTCGTGTCATGATTCATGAAATAACTCACATCACTGTGGGTAAAAAGAGTGATGACCTGGGGTCCTGTGGGGCCATTCAAAATTATCTACTTTTTTTCTTCCTTGCTCCCTCAAATTTACAAGTTAGCACCAGGAACTATTCATTACTGTGAAACAAGACCATTTTTCTCATATTATTGTGCAAAACCCCTGTGAGTGGAAACAACGCGTCACTCCCTTCTGCTCGATGATCCACATCACCTGCTATTAATTTTCATTTTACAGTAACGTTAATGGATGAAGCGTTAACACCGTACGCTGCCATTTATCCTCATTAAGTGTATTTCTTTTCTTTTACCGACATCACCCACTTTCAGAGTGTTGCTCTAAAAGGCAGTGGAAGAGGGTTAACTTAGATGTGACTGACGGAGCTCTGCCGCCTCGCGCACTTACTTGGTATTCGTGGTGTTCCAGTATATGGAGTCCAGGATGAGCGCGCGGGACAGGTTCACCTTGCACGCGATGAATAAAACTCCAAAGTAATATCTCCACAGAGAGTCGCCCATGGTCCGTTAAACGACCGTTACGGTCAAATTCCGTTTCCGCGGGAATTTCTAATTCGAAAAAAAGAAAGCGTATTGTGGAGTGCTGCTTGAGACAATCCAAACTCAATATCCCCGCTCCAGGAGAAAAGTAAAAAAAAAAAAAAAAATGCTGAATTTGAGTCCAGTTAGAAGTGAACCATCCCGTTGGGAAGTGCTAACGTTACTCCTCTATTTGTCCTGCTCCAGATGAGATAGAGCAGCACCGTGGACAGTGGACAGTTTCTCATTCGGTGAAAAATACGACTGAGTGGAGCACTCTCCGATCAACCGGCCGTGGGGAGCACGTACATTCCTCACAGGAAGGCGACCCGTGTCGTCGCCGCCGTAGTGCTGGATGTCCCTGGAGACATGGAAGTTAATCCCCCCGGAGTGTGGATAACAAGCCAAGCAGGTACCCTACCAATCCCAAATACGAGGTATTCCGTTCAGGCAAACGAGGAGAAAAAAAAACACCGGACTTCCCAAAATGATTAAGGCAAGAATGGAATAACTGTAGCCTGTTTGATGAAGCAAATAATAATAATAATAATAATAATAATAATAAGCAGAATGACTAATGGTTGAAAATAAAAATAAAATAAAATGAAAGGATGAAGTCAAATGAAAGTTCTCATGGGTCGCCGTGGAACCCGCACAGGAGCAGAGGACAGCTGCGGCTCGAACCCTGCAGGTCCGGATTGAAATGCTGGGCGCGTGAATTGCTGGACTGCTCCGTTCTCTGCGCGATTCTGTACTGCAAGTAGCAGCTAGCGTCTACAACACGGAATATTTGTCAGAGCGAGTTTTTCGCTGACTCCTCCCACCTATTCTGCCATTGGTCAAGGAGAGAAGCCTGTCAATCAAGCGGTCGCCCGGCGACTGGTCGAGTAATGAGAGAATATATCGGACTTCAGGTCGCCAACCCAGATTTCAGTTCAGGGATTAATGACATGTCTGCATTTTAAAGAGAACTCGTGATAGAATGTGTATAATCACAACTGTTACAAAAAAAAAAAAAAAAAGCCGGCAAGTAGGCAACTAACTTCATAATATACTATCTTCGTGATTACTAATTGGTATTTGGATAACGTTTAATCACTATTATTTATCGTTATTATACTTCATAATGGCATTATATATTTCTATTAAATATTTGATTTTATTATGTGTTCCACGGCAATCCCACTCCCGCATGGCCAATCATTTTAAAGTAAAGGCATTTATTTAGGTTGAGGTCGAGAGAAAGCTGCCTGCTGAATGCGTGAGGAAATTATTCAGCGGTCAACAGCGCCCACTAGCGGTCATGAACAACTAACTCAGCGTTCAAGTAAGTACATTTGACTAGTCTTCTTACATTTGTTTATGTATCAATTCAATGACAGGTTCATTACGACAATTTCGCAATATTTTTGTATTTTAAACTGACAAAATATCAAATCATTATATTTTAATTTAGAGTAGCCTGATAGCACAGCCTACATTACTCTTAAATAGTCAAATTAGCTAGATTTACTTCCGATGCAGTTGTCAAATGCTGTACTGTTGTTTGTTTTTTTGTTTGTTTTTTGCAAACGGAACAATTTAAAGAAAATAAGTTAAATAAAAATAATAAAATATTATAAGTTTAAAAAGTAATTTTAAGATAAGTAGGCTATTACAGTAGGCTACTTTAGTTATAAAGTAGCCTAATAAACCTTCAAACTGAATTATAAACTTGCCATATAGGCTATTATATTACGTTAATCATTATATTAGGCCTATATTATATTATATTATTCAGACTGTTTTAGCTGGTTAATAAACTAGCCATGTCTGTATTTAGAAAGCAGGCCTAAAGTTAATTAGGACGCAAGTGTAAAGAAAGCCGGTGTGAAAAGCATTCACACTTACCAAAGACTGTAATTGAATCAGCATTTACTGTTATCAGTGTGTATTTCTTCCCTAGTTTAAGATACCTTCAAGCGAGCAGATTCCACATCGAAGCGACAATTAACACATGTGCTGAATTAGGCTAAACGACTAAATGATTGCTGTATCGATAAAGCGCTGAATTAACGTGTTAGCCTACATCAAAGCAACGCAGATTGCCTGTTTATGACATCTATTTGTCAAGGCATCCAATGCATGCCAGATAGCCACTTATTTTGCTACATAGACATATTTTGTCAATATGAGCAGGAGCACTAAAGTTCAAAATTATAGACAATCTTAAAACTGCGTTTCAAGCACCACTTATAAAGAGCGCAAGCCTCCAAAGGTAATAAATTATTTACTTTGTGCAATTGTCTGTTTCTGAGAAGGCTCAATGCTCCCACACTACCAAACAAAAGCAAACAATAAGACGAGCTAAGACAATTCCAGTTTCCCGACGGGAAAACACGGAAACGACGATTTCCTGAGTGAGATGTAGCCTATCTTAAAAATAACCAACGCAGAGCTGTTAAGTATTGGTAAATAGGTTGGGTAAACGTACGTGCACTTTCTAGCAGATGTTCTTTTCTTGAATTACCAGAACAAACACCGTTAGTTAATTTGAACAAATTTTAGAATTAAATGTGGGCTATATTAATCTTATTTCACGTGCATAGCTATAATAAATATAACAATTCGATGGAAACATATACCATTTCTAATAAATACAATTTGTGTAACTAACTTGTTTTGTTTTATAACTTGAAACAGTTTTTCCTTACATTTAAATATTTAAACTCATTCATAGGCTATGAATTTAAACATCTCAACCTAAACGTCCCCAAAGTGTCATGACACTCCGTAAATTAAAAACAAACAACGCTTCACACCTTAAAGATAAACCCTGAGCAACTTCTCAGCTCTTTGAAATCACAGGGTCAGATCCATGTTTATTCAGTTGCACGCGAATAATCTCACGGTCCGTGGGTCCGACCTCGGTGTGTGTGATCAAACAAAGCAGCTTCACTGACGAGAAAACACACCTGCTGGCCTCCTAATACACACAATCAACAGTCAAGTATGCGCATTGCTCCATTTTTGGTCAAACTTTACGCATCGCTTCTGAGCAGATCATAACAGCGGTTATAACTTTTGCTTTGCGGTTCACATTATTCATGTCAACAAGGGAATTGTGGAGTTCAGCGCGCGCAGGGCCGAGCAGGATATACGAGCACAGTTTCGGCGTTACATCAGTAGTTCATCAGCGCTGCATTGTTAAAGCTGACAGTGACTAATACATGCGAGACTGTATCATGCGGGCTCGTCAAAAAATCAGACATCTGTGACAGAAGAGTTTGCCAACATTTCCATTAGTCTCACACAGGCCATCTGAGAACCGGCAGCGACCAGAACTAACCTCGAGGTCAATCTATGATAAGAGGAATCAGAAATAAACTGAAATGCAGATTGACGTTGGTACTCACTTCTGTCTTCAACTCGTAGGAAGGAAAGTTCACAACATTACAGGATAAAAGCCTGGAAAAGCTCCTTGAGATTTCACGTTCTGCTACAAAAAAGGGTTATTAAATAGCATTGTGCTAAAACTAGCATGAAATTAATTTTCTTTTTTATTATTATTATTATTATTGTTGGGATGTATCTGGCTTGAAAAAAAAGATCAAGACACTACAAAGTGTTTGTTATAAAGATATACCACATGCCAATATTTCTCTACGTTTTCAGTAATCATTGGCGTACTGCACAAAAGCTTTGTAACATACAATTAAAACTGTTCATTACTAACTTTGAAATTTAAATTAAAATAAATAATATTTTACTTACTTGTCCTTGAACAATTCACAACCTGAAAGAATGTTAAGTTTTTCATCTTAATTAAGTTATAAGGGCACGTACATTAATTATTAAGTCATCTTAAGTTAAGAGGTGCTGCAAATGTTTTATAGGATTATTTAACTTTTAAATGGAATCTCGACAATCTGCATAACCTTGAATTTTATAGTAACTAAATCTCCAAAATGGCAGAAGTTTTTTTTTCCTCCAGTTTATATTTTACTGCAATTGTCCATTCAATAAAATGTCTGGTGTGTTGCACAATATATACAGAATTAAAATAATGGGTAAAAATTAAAGAAGAGTGCAACAAATTCCCAGAAAAGAAAATTAAGGGTCTAACCAAACTACTTTGTGGTTTGCGGAGAGCACAAGACATGATTCAGGCAATGTTGTGTTCACAGGATTTATTGGTCAACACACTAAATGTCCCAGTTCACAAGGAAAAGAGTAATTTACCACAATACAAGAACACCCTCTAGCACACACTCACACACACACACACACACACACACATACACACACACACAAACTCGCTCGCATACACACCCTAACTAGTCTTACCTGTGATTCCCGATTTCCTTAAGGTAACAACAGAGCACTAGATATTACGAGACTTTGTAACACTGTAACCTTTTTTTTTTCTTTTTCACTGAAATGTTTGTATTGTGAAAGCTAAAGTTCTGGTCACACATATGTTCTACATTTCAAAATGAGCGATTTGAGTAAAGTGTATCAAAAAGGACAAATATGATCTAGGTTACAATGCTATAAACGTGGCTCATATCAGGTGATTATGGGATTATGTATTAAGCAGCATTTTAGGAACTATATATGCTTTGAGGTGTTCAGTCTGCAGTCTAAAAAATACAAAATGCTCTCACACACCCAGACATACGTTCACTAATAAGCATAAAATGAAAAGTCTGCCAATTTACATTTAAAAAAAATAATAATAATTTTGTGTATGCTGATGCTTTGAAAAGTACCGTCGTAAACTGGGGTTGTACCATTCAAGCTCCCAAACCACTGACATATAATGACCAACCGACCGATCCAACAACACACACACTCATATACACAAATATTTACACTTATTCATTCTTATTTGTTTGCCACTGAAAAGGAAAACAATGTTTCTAAAGGTGACTCCAGCCTAATAATGTCAAATATCAATACAACACACTGAAAAAAAGAAGAAGCAAAAGATGGCAGGATCTGTAAGTCTGTGGTGGGGCCTGGAAGTCCGGTTATGAAGAGAGGATTCAATTTTTGGGGGGATTTTTTCTTTCTTTCCTGGGTTTATGAAGACCAATTTATGTGGGCAGAGCGCACAGAGCAGACCTCTCTTTGAGACTCCGATTCACTTCAACATGAAGCACTCATCAGAAGAAAAGAGAAGACAAGACAAGAGTCACTCTGTAGCTTTGAGAGTGAAGGAGAGGCGAGGTCGGGACTTGCCCTTCCCCAATATCATCCTCTGTTCCTCTTTCTGTTGTTTCTGCCTCTCCTGCTGTAGCTTCATGCGTTCCTCATGGATCTTTCTCTGTTCTTCTACTATACGTAGCTGATCCTCAGCCTGAAACAAACACATGGGCAAAAATGACTTTTTCAATCAGCCAAGGGAGAAATAGGTTCATTATAGTTCATTTGATACACTAATACATGAAAATGTACCTTAATTAATTAGCAATTATGAAAAAAAAAAGTTCATTGTATTTGATCCAACCATAAAAAGAGGGGCATGGTTGGCACTGACAGGCATTCATTTTGAAACATTTCAGAGAGGGCAGGTACCACTATGAGTGCTTTTCATTATCAATAGACAATCTTCAATATGAATCCAATGACTTGTGGAACTAATTTTGATCAAAAAATTTCCATAACCATACCAGATTAAAGCAATAACTGGCTAAGGATTTTGAACAATTTCATAGAAACTGCGCTCACAAAGATCTATTTAAAGCAATTGAATATTTAAGAGAATATTATTATTCCAAGAAATATTTGATTTTCAGGCCGGCATATCAACATTTCCTGATATTTCAGGAAATATATACTCAGAGTGTGTGCGTGCGTGTGTGTGTGTGTGTGTGTGTGTATATATATATATACACACACACTGGTATTGGCGGTAATCTCGATATTAAAATTAAAATCATGAATATCACATTAAATAACATTGAAAATATTTAAACTGTTTGACACTTCAACATAGTAGGTGGCGGTATTGCATCTTAACGTTATTCATAAAACTGAAGGAACAACAATTTACACAAATTTAAAAAATCCATAGAAAATTCAATAATATTTTACACAGAAAATTCAATAATTATCTTACATAAATAACGAAAATACTTTTTTGTGCCGACAACCAATTCTTAGAGGGCAAGTAGAATTATACTAATTAAAAATTACATTTAAATATTTTTGTTTCATGTACATATTTTCTTTTATGTTTAGGATAGGATTACATTCATTTTTGTTTTGTTGTGTTTGGCTTTTGTTTCTCATTTTCTAGAATAATTCATGTTTTGTTGTCAAAATAAAACAAAAAAATAAGTACCAGCTTAGCTTGAGCATCAGCAATCTTTCGGTTGTTTTCTTCCAAAATTCTCTCCAGCTCCGCTCGTTTGGATTTCTCTTCCTCCTAAAGGGGTGATACGGTGACATATTAGGGCGGGCAGACAAATCCACTGAAATAGGTCCCCATAAACCCAGTTGCACACTCAAACATGTCTACACTCGCACAAACAGGTACCAGCCAGCACCACTCGCACAATCTTTCATGTACTTACACACGCTCTCCACATTTCACATTCCGAACTGCAGCATCAAATGTCTGAAGCTAACCTCTATGTATGCAACAATAAGCAAAAAAAAAAAAAAAAACCCACCCATGAATTTATTCAGGCACACCTTTAATCCCCGCCACGTTTAAATATATATATACACATCCAAACATCCATTTACGCATTCATTAGGATCCATACAGAACAGGTATGTAAAAAATAACACATCGACAACTAACGAAGAATCTCATTCGTTTGCAGAATGAAAAAAAAAAACATCAGTTGGTTCTCTCTCTATTTTTTTATTTATTTATCAGCATCCATAAGCAAGAAGTTTCAAAATAAAATGAGAGAGACAAAGAAAGATTAACTTAAATAAAGGAGAGAGTGAATAGTAGTGGCTCACCAATGCTCGTATACCTACGCCTTTCTCCTTTGACTGTGTACTGTACCTACACAACTGCTGATTAAAGGGGTGAGTATTTACTGCCAGGTCCCGTGTGTCCCGTCCTGGACAGCGCAGCACCTCCCCTTTAAAAATTTCTGAGCTACTAGCACGAGCTAGTGCTCTTACACAGCAACACCACATGCAGTATATAGCACAGTCCAAGAAAATGAATTATGGTAATCATACAACATTACCGTGTGGGGACGTCAGGCTATTAACGTTAAAGGATGTTAAAGACTGCAAAAACACAAAGGTGGGATCATTCGTTAGATGTGTTTGTTTGAAAACAAAAACAGTGATGTGTTTGCGTCTAAGCTCAATGGCTGTAGTGGAGTGTGGATGTAGAAGTGTGTGTGTGTCTGTGTGTGTGTACCCGCACGCCAGAACTCCTAAGGAAAAGCAAATTGTGAGGACACAGAAGTACATATAAAACACTGCACTTTAAATGACGTCAAAACGGAAGAGTCAAATGAAAAATAAAGTTATTAAAGAAATAAAAAAAATTAAGCAATTAATACATTTAAAACACAGACGACAGAAATGAATGAGCAATAAAGAGAGGGGTGGAGCGTTTTGTGATTGATGGTGCAAATGAAGACTAAATCATGTGCAAACGCTAAATGTAGGACAATACAGATTCATTTAATGGTTCCGTACCAGGGCTACAAATGATGGGGACAAATCTAAAACGTACAGAAGGAGGGCACATATCTAACCCTATTAGTGCTGAGCCGCTGAATTTTGTGTGTGCTTGTGGAATGGAATTAGTTTCTTGTTCATAACTCGTTGCATCTTTACAATTAGAGCACAGTAACCCTCCTTTATAGTATGGGTGAAATTACAAACTATAGATTTAGCAATTTAATTAGTTTAAGTGAGGTCTAGTGGCCGCAAAAGGTCTTGTGTGTTTGCAACATCCCTTTGGTGTAAAGTGTATTAAGGAAAGCTATCAAAGTGGTGGAAAAAAACAAAAAGGCCAGGTTTGAATGCTGAATGACCTTTTTAAGAAAATAGTTTTATTGAAGACGTACAGTTTCATACATTGGGGACAGTAAAATTATAAGATAAGATATGGAGTAAAGAGAGTAAAATAAAAGGGGAGAGAAAACATGGGAAACATGATACTGGTCCCTTACAGCCGTGGCAAAACGTTCACTTGAAACCCCTGAGAGTGCACTAGAGGTGTGCAAGACTCAATAAAATCAGAAAAAGCACAGAGCTTGTCTATCAACCGAGTAAATGACTCCTTAACTATTAGCGTTCACTAGCAACTCGACTGAACTTCTCCAACTTGAAAATGTTACTTGTAATGTGTATCATTCCCCACCCAATCAATGGAGCATACTTCCATCAGCTACCCTGCATCTCCTGCTCTGTCTCTGGGGAAAACGAATGTCAGGTTGTGCCACGGCTGAGGGTGTGCGGTTTGCGGCTGCTCTCCGCTGTGTTCCGAACGACCGAGCGTTACCTCTCTGGTTTTCTGGGCGTTCAGTTCTGCCTGCCTCTGCTTCTCTAGCTCCTGCAAAAGCTGTGCCTCCATGATGCGTTTGGCCTCCTCCACCCTCCGCAGGACCTCATGCTCGATCTCGTCACGTCGCTTCTCAAGCTCCTCCTCCACACGCCGCGCCACAAGCTCCTCCACACGCCTCGCCGTCTCCTCCTCAATCAGGCGCTCCTCGATCTCCTGGTGACGGCTGTGAAGGAAACAAGAAAGAGAGGATCAATCATGGCATCCCTTAAATTATACACAATGATAAATCTAGAGTGAAGAGCAACTCATACAAGAAAAGGTCAGAATTTATTTGTTAGCAGTCGGGCGCGTAGTCCCTTGTCCTAACAACATTTGACTGCCCCCCCATTTATTTTTTTCTTTAATGCAAAATAGAAATTATTTATATATTTATATTCAATACATTATTTTTTTCCTTAATATTTACTTTAAATGTAATATTTGTGTGTAATTATTTTTTTGCAGAAAAGGGTTAAGGTCCGGTTAAAAAATAAATACAACCTCACATTATGTCAATCATGCTTGCACACTGCCTCCGAAACTTTGTCCATCATAAAAAAAAAAAAAATCGGATCAGGTTCTCTTTTCTGTTTTTTCGCATCTGTAGCAAGCAGTTTGAATGGTGTTTTGACAATTCATAGCCACCGAAACATAACTACGAAAAAAACGCATACGAAAATTTCGGACTCAGAGTGCAAGGGCCTTTAAAGGATCACTTCAACTCTGGAAAGATGTGTATTTAAAATTGATCATTTATGTAGAAGAAATGTGAAATGAATTTGGAGAAAATGTATTTTTGGCTAATGTGGATGAAGGACAACAACTACCAGAATGCACTTGCTTCGCTGCCCTAGGAGGCCACGCCTACCGTTAACAGAGCACAGTAGGTAAACAACAGTGTAGGCTATTGAGTCTCCGTGATGAGTCTCTTCGAAAATGTGTTTCGAGATCGCCCAAAATGTCTGGGATCAACATCAACCGACCACATTTTTAGCATTCATGTAAACACTACATTTAGATTCACCAATTTCAGTTAGATTTAAACAAGCTGTACATATAAACAATGCATGGCAACTACAGAAAGCAAAATCTGAATCCTGGACATCGACGGCCAGACATGTCCGGGAAAAAGAGGACAGTAACCCCTAAAGTTACTACTCTGCTTTCTCCACAGAACAAGAGCCTGCTAGCTTAGCTTCCAAAAAAAAAAAAAAAAAATGGCAGACACTATGTATAATCCCAATCCTCCAAAATGCAGCCGTCTGCGTCTTCAGTACCTCCGTCCTTATTCTCAAAAAGTTTCTGTAGGTGAAATCAAACGCACTGGCACTGATCTGTGATAGGTCTGTTAGCGCATTAGGTCCAACCCCCTATGGGCAGATTTGAAAGGGTGGGATCTAGTGCTTGTAGTCTTTACAGAAATCACACTTTCTCCTACAATGACGTAAAATTACGATTTTTGCGTCATTGTAGGAGGAAGTGAAAAGGGTAAATAGCAGATTTCTCTCGTCTCAGGGGAAAATGAGAGAGTGTTGCACGACCATTCAATAGTATGACTGGGTTTCTAACAATGGAAAGCTTAATGCAAATGGGTGGAGTGTCCCTTTAATGTGAAAAAAACATTTAATTTTGCAAAATGCAATTGCATTTAGCTTTTTGTTAAATAAATAAATATATATATTTGTTTCACACACATATCTCACATACATTTTTTTCACAAATTATTTCTTTTTAAAGAAAATTAGCAATTATAGAATTATAAACTCCAAGACAGTCATAAAAACAATCACTTTTAACATGCAAAATTATACACAGTAAAACAAATTAATTTTAGATCAAACCTTACTGATGCTGCCATGACTATAAATAATTACTGCAATTTCACAAAAACTTAATTTATGTTAGCCGCTTTAATAACCTTTAGCTAGCAGACAAGTTTAAAAAGATAACCACATTTCACAATCAAATGTCAAAGAAATGCATTTCACAAAATGCATTGCTGAGCCCAGAAGAGGCAAATGATATTATTGACTTGTCATCTGCATAATTCTGAAATTAAGCATGATGTGCACGCTGACATCATAAACCCATAAAGGAAAGTATGCCTCTCAAAAGGGAGGCCTGCATGATTACAATAGCATGTTTTACCTTTATTTACACTTTAAGCATGACTAAACCATTAGAGAAGAGCAAGCTGTCACACCTGGCCTTAAGAAGGAACACAAAAACACAGACACAATAGTGAACCAAGTGACCATTACATTGCCCAAAGCCAAAACAAAAATTAAACAACAGCAGCCACCTTTTGATTTGATTTCAGTCATGAAACTCGATCCAGGGCCTCTCTTTGAGTTTTAAAACACCCTGAATGTGGTTACAATGCACTTCGGGTGAAGATCAGGCCTGGGGCTGCAGCACTTCTCTTCCCGTTCTTTCACTACATCCCCCTTCCTTCCCTTCCACAAACCTCTTAGCATTATACTGGTGGCCTCCAATCACAAAAGAGAGATGTCAACAATCTGTGATAGTTACAAAAGCATATCAGCTTACACATGCAGCAGATTTCAGTGATGAGATGACCTGATGTGTGACAGCTGTCTATGAGAGTCCATGGAGTGATGAAAGTCCAGTGAATACAGATAGGTAACATGAAACGTCACTTTTTTGCACACTAGATAAGTATATTAGGTTCTTATAAATATTAAACAACAAAGAGTTGCAACTTGAAACACCTGAACTGAAGTGATAGTGTTGGCCAACCAAGTGGCACTTCATGCATGCTTAAGTGAGTAAGGCCACGTCTGGCACATAGACAGTAGACACACAAACATAGCCTATATGCCTATGCCATATATATATATATATATATATACACACACACACACACACACACACACACACACACACACACACACAACATTAATAGTCGTCTTACATCTTCCTCTGTCTTTCTATCTCTGCTCTTCTCTCGTCCTCTTCTCTCCTCTGTTTCTCGTCGTTGCTTCTCTTGCTCAGTGTCCGGCCGAACATGTCGGTTCTGTCGGGTGGTGAGCCACCCCTGTCCCTCCTGCTGCCAGATCTCGAGCGGGACCGTCTGCTTCTCTTCAACTCCTTCGATCTGCTCCTTTTCTTATTGGATTTGGATTTGGAGCGGCTCCGTCTGCGGCTGTGTTTAGAGTGTTTGGACCGGGACGAGCTGCGGCTCCGGGAGCGCCCCATGTTCTGCACGAATAAATCCGACTGACACGACTAAATATGGTCTTATGAATGCAGTGACATCTACAACGACCTCTTCTAATATTATATTACGGTTACCTGTATAATTGTTTATTATAAGCTGATTTAATAAGGATGTTCGTTGCTTTCTGCTCCAGTGAATCTGCGGAATAAAAACAATATGGCGACCGCCTCCAGTCTTTCTTTTCCCAGAATGCATCAGCTTACTTCGGGTCTTTTCGGATATCTCCGCGCTGATGCCGAAAGAGGAGGAACATGAGGACTCTGGCCTCTGCGGAAGCACCAAAAGCGCATTGGAAGGTACTCTGAGGTATCTTCCATGGTATCAAACTAAACTCTCTCGACTGCAAAGTAGCAATTTCAAACACTGCACACATTACATTCTACAATACAGTTGAGGTTGTCTACATATCTTAGTAAATCCAAAGGTCATACAGGTTGTGAATGAATATACGGACAAATACAGAAAAAAATGGTATTCCACAATTTTATACTGCAATACGCACATTATATGCGATAATATTCGTTCCCCCTTTTACAGTCTGTGTAATCTAATCAATTTACACTGTGCACCATGTTCTTAACCGTGTAGTGTATGAAGTGTTTTTTTTTTTTTTTTTTCATTCGAATGATGAGTCTGATAGTCTCCGTTGAGTGCATGAAGTGAGTGTCCAACATTCCACTTGATTTTGACGGTTGATTTAGTGCATCGTCTTGGTAATTAAAGGTCACTTTTTCGTATATTTGAAATTTTCTTTGTGAAACGACTTAAGTTTTTATACAATATAGGCTAGCCTACAAATTTGATCACACCTAGAGAGTTATTTAATGGATTTTTGGTTTTAATGCCTGAAATATGGTCTGTGGCAAAGTATCTTCACATTTTATTCTATGGCATAAAACAAAAAACAAATCAGTAAACCCCATGTCATTTAAGCTTTTACTGTTTTTTTTATTATTATTATTATTTATTTATTTATTTTTTAAAAGTAGTTGCCAACAAGTGGCCAATGGGACTAGAGGTTGTCGGGGACATTAAACATCATCAAGCCAAACAGGTATTTAAATATCTGAAATCTAAAATAAACATTATGTGGTTAAAAACACTTATCTACTCACTATTCTGGGTTTAGTCCCTCATTGTGTTAATAATTGTGTGTTTTCAAACTAACTAGTCAATGTTAGCTTTTTACTATTGGTGATTGAATTTAAACTTCATAAATTCATAAACATTGGTTTGTGTTTTTGCAGATGAAACTTGGGTAATGCTATCTTCTGGGTTCCCAGCAAACAAATTAAGTTAGTTTTTTGTTCCCAGAACGTCCCTAGAACTTTCCCTTAAGGTTAAGGGAGCACTCCCGCAACATTCTCCTTGCGTTCTAAAAATGTAACCTAAAAATGACCAACATGGAACGTTCCTATAACGTTCTTGTTTGGTTAGAAAGTTATTCTCTAATGGGCAGGTCTGAACGAAATCTACAGGCCTTTTATGCATTGTTTGTACAGACTGCGCTGATTTTTGGGGAGGCTGAGTGGTTATAAACATAAAATGTGTCAAATGGAGCTGAGAGTTTGACGCTTGTATGGGTAGCTGAATTCATAATATAATTTGCCAGAATAAAAGACAAGCATGCAATTGGTGCAAGGTGTGCAACTTTGTGAATGACAAGAATGCAGAGCTTTTTGTAGAGTTCATTGGGAGCAGATTCTGTTTGGGCTTTAATGGGTGATTTGATTGATGATCTGTACACATGAGAACAACAGCTTAGTTGTAACAACCTGGTTAGGTCTACCATACGTTACAAAAAAGAATAATCATTTTCTTGGCCAGTTGTTTTGGACTAAATCTTTGTTGTTCCATTCTGCTTGTCCTTTTTTGTTGGTTTCCTTGAGAGATAAGCTTATCCTAGCTCTACATGAAGACCAATTCATAACTTTATTTTGTCAGGCCCATTTGCCGACAGAACGGTCATTCTAAGATTAGGTTCAAACCCATTCGAACTCCAGGGGAGCACTGTGACAGGCAGTTGCTTATTCTGAAAAACTACAAGCTAAAAATATTTAACCAGGGCTATTTTAAAACACACATGAGCAAAGTCATGGTGACTCTGTTTGAAGATCGAGTCAAGATAGGCGCGAGAGAGAACATAGAGAGAGGGAGCTGTGAACAGAGCTTTTTTTTAAGGAGGTAAAAAGGGTGTTGTTTTACACAACCATTGAGGAATTTTAACCAAAGTATGTTACAGACTTTACAAAACCCTAAAAAATCATACCAACTTGTGGAAAATGGGCATCCGACGACCCCTTTAAGGAAATTTGGCCTTTGTGTTTTCTCATATTTATACGCCTATGGAACAGGAAGTCATATTAGCCAGACAATTTCATGCTTCTTGTCCTCCCTGGTGTGTTAAAAAATGTAAATATGAATGAGAATAAGATACTTCTTTATATACCTAACAGCCTCCTTTGCTCATATACCAAGGGTGCCAATATTAGTCGAGGGCACTGTAGCATTTGTGCATGTAACATATTGCCAAATACCATCAGTAAGGCAATAGTATCAGCTATATTGAACAAACCAGTGAGGTGTGTTGTAGTTGAAGAATAATGAGAACGAGACAAAGTTTTCATGAGTTCGGTGTTCATGGTTATCATTGTGTGACATAAAGAATAAGGCACAAAGTTGCTTAGATGAATAATCCAGGAAAAGTGTGAGAATGCTATCAGTTTAGGCTGAATTTGAGATGCAACTACAGATTTTGGGAAGTTGTTGAGTTGAATTGAAAGTTTTGGCATGTAGTTCAAAAAAAAAAAATAGAAGGAGAGTATTTTCACTTCCTGAAATGCAACATAGTTATAGTGATAGATGTTAGGGATTTGTTTTTACTTGAGGAAGAAGCCAACTTTTGTTCTAAATTCATGAACACAAGCAAACTGATCTCTGTTGTTTGCCAGAGGAAGTCAATCAGTATTATATGTGTCAGACATGATCAATAAGCATCAAACTAAATTACTTACTTCCCAGCTGCTACTCTAAGAATCACTGCTTTTCCTTCCAGTGGAATAACGTCACACAAAAGACAGATGTCACTGCTACCTTAGGCCAGACCACTCTCTTTCAATCAAGCCATTTTACAATTCTCAAACATATTAACCTCATCTTTAAATGATTAGTTGAGCAGTATAATACCACTGCTTTTTCCCGCTCTCCTAACATGAATGGTCTTCATGCTACTCGAGTTAATGAAAAGTCGCTGCGCTCTTTCTTCCCCCTTTTTTATTCGTTTGATCAAAGATGGCCTCTCCTCTCTGGCTAACCTCTCCTCTCAGTTGGCTGTAGCCTCTGTCTCTTGAGGGTGAGGGCACTTAACAAACACAGGATCCCACCGCTGGGGCACATTGTCATGTTGATGTCCCAAGGGCCCCAACACAAAGGGCCATTGAGGAGAGGAAAGGAGAGAAAGAGCTGAGACAGAGAGAGAGAGGGAGAACAAGGCTCTCAGGAGGAATTTCTTTAACCCGTCATGCAGCGTGTGTGTGTTGAGCGGGGGAGGGTCATATACCAGCTATAGCTCCAGTGTTGTTGGTCACTGGACTGATCTTGGTCACCGACTTCTTAAAGTCTCCTGGGGTTGGTTCTGCAAAGAGTCACCTTACTGTGAGTCTGTGTGTGTGGTTTCATGGAAATTCAAGAAGCTTTTCAGGCCGACATGCTTCAGTTGTTTGTTAACTCTAGATGTATCGTTCCTTTAGGCACCATTAAAACTGTATACCTGACCTACATTGGATAAAAATGTACATAACTTTTTTTTTTTTTAATTATTTCTCATACGTGGTGATTTGGAAAAAAAAGAAGAAAAAAACCTTCTCACCCTAAGAATTCAAATCTGCCACATCCATACACATTGTGTTGTTATGTTTGCCTGTTTTAGGACCTGTCCCAAATGGTGTGATCTGATTTGTGTTTGAGGTCTTGCAGAAGTTGTTGAATGTGGAATCTGACCTTATTGTGTCCCATTTGACAATTTAGGTTGAATGGTGGCTACGGGTAGGGCTAGATATCAATTTACTGATTTAATTCTTTGAAAAAAAATCTTTTTTGAGAGGCAATTCTAATTTGATTTTCTTTGATTAGGTGCTGATTCATTTGAGCAAATTACATTTGTAATGTATTTTACTTGTATGTAAAGGATATATAAACAGCTTACTGTGTACAGTACAAATATATATATATATATATATTGTTCTTTTGAACTTTATATTAACTTATATATGAACTAGTGTACACTGTAAAAAATGTGGAGTAGGATTTACTTGAAAAAACCTTGCTAAACGATCTCACTCAGAAAATGCTAGTAAATTTACAAAGATTTGCCAAGTAAAAACCTAAACATATTTATCAGTAGCTTTAATTAGAAATCTTTAAGTTAAATTTACTTGGAATGTGGAATTAAGTAAACTTTACAAAAAATAAGTAATTTTAACTCGGCTTGTAAAAGGTTGATTAATACCGATTTCCTTTGCCTTTGTATTACACTTCACTAAAACAATTATCTTGAACTTTATTAGTCATTTATAGTATGTTCTTTACTTAGATCATCTAAGTAATTTATATATACATCATGTCAGACTTTAAGCCTTATGTGAATGCAAACACCTCAATACTTGGTAGACAATACACAATGGTGGTAACATTTGATGGATCGTTTTTGTGTTTGAATGTGTCGTTTTAAGCAAAAAATTTACTCAATGTCACAAAATGGCAATTTACTAATACTGAAAACAAAAATCAATGATAAAACAGTGTAAATACAGCTGGAAACCATGTGAAAAATTAACCTCATTAATTATTCAAGGTCCAGTGCATGATGGAAACCCCAGTATCAGAAAAGTTGAGTAATTTTTACTTAATTTTATTGAGTTGATATTACACTTTCATTTATACTCGCTTGAAATAAGTACTGATATGGAATTTACTTTGTTTTTTTTAAATTCTTGCCTGAACTAACTTTTTCAAGTAAATTACATTGGGTTTTATCACTAGTATTTACTTAACCAAAAAACCATTTTTTACAGTGTAGTTTTCCACCAAAAAATAACGAGCAATTCCAATGTGCTATTTTCCATTGTTTTTCCATGTAAACACGTGCTAGAAGGACGTGTATGACTGTTGTGCTCGCGTCTTGCGTCTAT